TCCACCCGGGCAGTGTGTGTCCCCTCTGTGGCCCCTTCACAGGAGGAGTGAGGGACACTGGCTGCCTGAGCTGGAATCAGCCCAGTGGTTCTTTGGCCCAACCAAGTCGGAGACGAAACCAGAGATTTAGCTACACAGAATCCCTGAGCCACAGCCAGGGCTGGATGTTATAGGAGGAGGCAGTTTTCTGTGTAACACAATGGCTCATGGTTAGAATCTTCCACCTTTAGAGCAGCTGCCTCTGGAGGTAATGGGCTCGCTGCCTCTGGGAGAGTTTCAGCAGAGCCTGCAAGATTCTTTGGTGGATTTCATGCCTTCATTCATCCACCCATCTAAGCACCCACCCGATATTTTTCAAGTATCAAACTTAACGCTAGGTGCTGGACTAGTAGATTCCACTATGAATAAGATAGAAATGGACTTGGCCCTTGGGAAATAATGGGAACTCTAGGATCAGGGTACAGGAGGTCATTACCTAGACATGGAAGTCAGTGAAGACCTCCTGGAGAAAGCCACGTTTGAACCTGAAGCCTGAAAACAGGAGGACTGAGGGTAGAGGAGAAAAGTTCCAGAACGAGGAGGCAGCATGTGTGAAGGGCTAGAGAGAGCATGGCTCACCGAGGAACCAAAAAGCTCAGTGAAGCAGGGCTTACCGAGGGCTAGCAGAGTTGAGAGCAGGGTCAGCATACGGGTCACATTAGGAGGTTTGAGCTTTGTCCCAAGGGCCATAAGGAGCCCATGAAGGGTTTTCAGCAAGGCAACGATGTGGTGAAATGTGCTTCTTAGCTGGTTTCCCCAGAGGCAGACCTGGAGACAGGGATACCTGGGCAGGTAGTTTATGTGGGAGGTGATTCCGGGAAATACCAGTAGGGGAGTAGGCAATTGAGACAGGGAAGGGAGGCAGCCAAGAAGCTTGTGTTGTCAGGCAAGCCACCACAGAGGGTACTGGAGCTTAACCCTACTGGAGAGCTCCGGGAGCCAGAATAGTAGTATCCTTCAAGTTATTCCCCCTGAGAGGAGGGAGCTGGGCTATTCATACAGCCACTCCGTTGGCCGCTGAAGGCTTTTCTGGGCTGGGTGGGGCATAGACACGTCCCTAGCACTGTCATCTTTCAATGGGGCAGGCAGAGTAGGCTGTGCCATGGGCCCTCAGGCAGAGATGCAGGGGCTGGCTTGGAGCTGGGCCCAAGGGGACACAGGTTAGCACCACTGTGATTGTGGGGGGGACAGGGAGGGGCAGACAGGAGCCTGGAGATCAGTGAGGAGACAACAGGAAGACTGGTCCAAGCAAGAGACGTCTGTGACCCGGGCTGGAGAGGGTGTGGTTATAGGCAGAAAGGGACAATGTCAGGATGTAGAGATGGCCGGCCTGGTGACACATGTGGGGGAAGGAAGAACACTGTAGAGGACTCGCAGACTCTCAAAGCTGCAAGGGGCTCCTGACCCTCCCCAGGGCTCCCCCTCATCCCCATACTGCTGTCAGGTCCTCCTCTGCTCACACTTGTCAGAGACACTGACACAGCTCCCAGGGCAGCTGGGGGCCACACCCCAGAGACCATGAAGCGTGTTTGGAGGGAGATGAAGGTACTGGGACACCTGCTTAAGAAGCAAAACTGGGATGTCGTCAGCACCAGCCCCAAGCATGTGTGTGTGGGTGTGTGAAAATGAGAGGAAAGCAATCTGGTTGAGCCCCCTACCGACCCTAAGTGTCACCTCACTCCGACACGCCCACACATGGGCCTCATGAGAATAGATGCTCTGCGTGGCTTGTTCATGGCTTCCCCTCCCTCCCCCCGCCCAACCCCCCACCCAACCCCGCTGGCTCACAGCATGAAGTATGTTTGGAGGGAGATGAGGATGCTCAGTCTGTTGAACAATGGAACCGTGAGTGGTCCCTGCTCTTCTGTGCTCCTTGTCCTTAGGAGGGAGGAGAGGGAGGTGCTGGGGACAGTAGAGTGGTGGTTCTGACGACATGGACCCACAAAGGTGGGGTGGGAGGATAGTTTGAAAAGGGGATGGGGTTGTTGAAGCAGTGAGGGAAAAGAAGATGGAATTGTGCCATCAACCGGCGTTTATAGTTGCCAGCAATAGAAGCCAAGTCTGGATGAAATAAGTAGAAAAAGTAGCCAATGAACAATGGTGTACGGATGCCCAGATCCTTCCCTCCCCAGCTTTGACAATTCTGAGGCCCGAATCCTTCACTGGCTCTGGTTGCCCACAGTGGTGGCTTGCTGGATAATGTATCTTTGATGGGCTACCCTCCCTTCTCTGGCTCCGTTCCCCTCTTCCCTACTGGAATTTCCTGGGATCACCTCCCACAAAAATTACGTGCACTCAGATCTTGGTCTCAGCGTCTGCTCCTGAAGGGACCCCACACCCTGGGCAGGTGCATCCGATCAGCAGAACTGGTTGTGTGTTCTTTCCTTGTTACAGAAGAGGGAAGCAAGAATTGGACATTTTCAGCTTCTGGGTTGGGAAGATTGCTCTGCTTCTCACCAGGACTCAGGGGGTATATTTTCAGGGTCCCAATAGGAAGCTGACTCAGTCTGTTCAGGCTGCTATAACAAAATGCCACTGACTGGGTGGCTTATACACAGCAGGAGTTTATCCCTCACAGTTCTGGAGGCTGAAAGTCCAAGATCAAGGTGCCAGCGGATTCAGTGGTCCCACTTTCTGGTTCACAGATGGTGCCTTCTTGCTGTGTCCTCACATGGTGGGAGGGGCGAGGGGTCTCTTTGGGGCCTCTTTTTATAAGGGCAGTAATCCCACATAGTCACCTCCCAAAGACCCCCAACTCCTAATACCATCACTTTGGGAATTATGATTTCAGCATATGAATTTTGGGGGGATACAAGCAATTAGACCATAGCAGAAACCAATGGCATGTTCAAATTATAATAATTTGAGGGGGCTTGTTTATAAAGGGCTTATTTACAAAGAAATAGGGTTTGTAGGGAGGTACAAGGGGTAGTGCAATAACTCAAAATGAACAGTGGCAGAGCTGTTACCACCCTTAGGTCTGAAGGGATGAGGGGAGGGGATGGTTGCAGGAAACCAGAAAGAAAGAGCCATGCAGAGGTCCCCGGGAAAGGAAGGGGGACGCAGCCAGCCCAAGGTCACCTCACTGAGAGACACAGAGGGGAGTAAATGCCTAATCTCTGCTCTCTCCCCTCCCCACCCTCCTTAATTTTCCTGTCCACTGACGGACAGGCTCAGACAGGTCAGCCTCCTGGGCCAGAGCAGGGCAGAACAGAGCGAAGGCAAGACCCGGAGGGCAAATGATTGATATCTGGTAAAGTGGGGGAATTTCCCAAACAACCAAGGGGCCTCAGGTGTGACAAAGTAGCCCAATGTCCGTGTGGCATGAAAAGAAGAATGTCACATTGGGTCTTGAGGTTGGGCTGAGGGCTCCACAGCAGGCCCTCATCAAGAGTGGGCCATTCCTTCTCCTTGGTCACAGCCCCTCTTTTCTTCCCAGAGCCTACCTTTCTGAGTCCCACTGGCCTCTCCAAAGCTGTGCTCGTAGCTGGGTGCCCAGGACTTGAAGAGACCTGGCTCTGCCACTGAATGCTGTAACCACACTTAAGTTTCTTCCCCCAAAGGGACTCATTTTTCCTGTAAGTAAGACTAGAAAGGTTAACCAGATGAGCTTTCTGGACCCCTTCCATAGCACTGACTTTCTAGAAAGGCTCATGGCCCCCTTCCAAACAGTTCTGAGAAGGGAGTGAAAAAAAAACCAAAAAATGATTGTCCTTTTGGGGAAACCAAGGCCCAGGGAGCAGAGGGACTTGCTGGAAGTCACTGACCACATGGGTCCTTGGTCAAGACATGCACCTCTTGTTAGAGCTGTCCCCTTAGCCCCGGCCTTGCTTTCCTTGCTTTCCCAGAGGGTACAGCCCCCATCCGTGTTTCTTTTCAGTTAGTGCAGCAGCCAGTGTGAAGTTTCAAGATTCCTCTTGTGCCCTTGTTTGTGTGTGTGGCTGTGAACGGAAATGTGTAAGAATGGTGGTTTCAAGCCGGCTGTTAGGGTTCAGCAGGTGCTCTCGCCCCACTTGGGGAGTCAAGGCCAATGTAATATTGCTTCAGGACTTTTGAACCTAGAGGTCCACACAAACCTCAAGGGTCTGAACCTCAAATTAAACCTCAAGGGGCTTAATTTGAGTCAGGAGGGCTGTGCTAATGCCTCTGAGCCCCTCTGACAACAGTCCTGCACAGCCAAAACCCACGACTCTCGGAGGCGCCCTGAATCTTGCCACCCACTCCATGGAACTGTTTTGAGGTCTGTATCCCAGGTACATGAAACAAAAACCATTTCATCTTCTATCAGGCCCCAAGGCTCTGATGTTTACTGCACGCCAAGGCTAGGAGACCCTCAGTCACCACCTGTTGGAACCACTGCCCTCTTCCCTTAAATTGTAGGACAGGGGAGAGCTATTCAGCCTGTCAAATAGGTTCTGTTGAAGTTAGAGTTTCCAGACTGATTATTCCAGATTATAGCCCACATACGTGTTCTCTTTAGCTTGTCCCATGTCTTCCCACATTGGTTTATTTTTACAAGGTGAAATGAATTGGTAGAAGTCACACTGGGATTTCTGGTTACTTTAAGAATCTGGGAGACCTGATAGCACTGGGCTCACATTCTTGCCTGGGAATGTTTGGCTGGTGCATAGCGATGGACCCTCTAGATAAGACATGTGGCCTTCAGCTCATCATCGTCCTCACTATTCATTGTCTCCCAGCTGGGAGCTGAATGTTCGTTGCCATTTATCACCAAACTTATGCTGCTGGTTCTTGAATCAGAGAGTTATGAGGAAAGTAAAATATTTTGGGTCCTCCGCTCCATTTCCAACAAAAGTGGTTTATTTATATTACCTGCTTGCCCCTGGGGTGAACCTCCTGTCCTGTTGTATAGGGTTGCTAGAGTAGTAGCTTATTTCCAGAGCTCTGTTTGGTCCCCAACCTCTCCTGTGCCACAATGACCACAATCATAGTTGCCATCACATCACATTTATTGGTCCTCTGTCAGGTTGTGCACACAATGAGAGACACAAGATAGCCCTTAGTTTGTCTGAGAGGCAAAGCTTGGTGGGCAAAGGAGACAGAGCAAACAGCGCAGCTGGGGGCAGACAGGATTAGATCTAATATGATGAATTCACCACGCTAGAAAGGACTGCAAGGGAAAGTCTTAAACGACACCAAGCAGCTTGGTGGAAACGGCCTCCTGGCCTTCTGCCCAGCTCCTGACCTAAGCTCAGGCCTGTGTTGCAGCGACTATAGGTCGTGACCCAGTTCCAGCTCCTTTCCTGGGCTCAAGAATATCTGGGATCCAAGGCAGTTTGGTCGGGGAGACTCAAGGCTGGCCTATAAATTCAGCCACCTCACTGAAAAAAAGAAAAGCCTCAGTTTTCTATCTGTCTAATGGGGATATGAAGATAGATAGGCCCTGGCTACCTCTGCGAGACACCCTGTGGTCTGGGCATACTGGTCCTCTCAAGGCCCACTGTTCTCACCACACTGCTCCACTCCGGTTTCCGGGAGGCTCCCCTAGAAGCCCTCGGGGGGCGTACTCTATACAGGTTTTCCCAGTCAGGTGAGGCAAGCATTTAGCGTGGTAGAAGAAACTCAGGTGACCATGATTCAGGCCACAGCTCACCTTATGTGAGCCAGACACTACAGTCCGGTCACAGGTGCCGAGGAGGTCATCGTCCCAACCATTGTCTGCATCCCAGACCTGCACTCTCAGGGGCCCCGCTGTGGGCAGAAGCACATCCCCAAAATCCAGCTGTGTCATCCACTGAGGATCGTTATTGTTCCACACTGTGCCCGTCCTCAGCTCCTGGCGTCCAAAGAAGACCTTCAAATAGGCGTCCGTGGCAGTGAAAGAGTCTCCCCACAGACCTGTCGCCTGGAAGCTCGTAACCTCCAGATGGGCCAGGCCCCTCTGCCTGGGACAACAGTCCTGGTTGATGACTGCTGAGTTGTGGCACGTACACTGGCAGGGGTCATGGCGGCTCTTCACCTGCCCTACCGGGCAGGGTCGGTTGCAGTCCCTCCAGCGTGCCCTATCTGTCACATACTTGCTCACGGCCTGCCTCAGCGCCTCCCGCCGTGGGTCCTGGCTCTCTAAGAGCATATGCAGAGGCTCCAGGGTGTAGTCCACCAGGCCGGGGCTGACGGGCAGTGAGGCTACCCAGGCTGAGAACTGCTCGGGCCCAGCATGGTTCCCAAACAGCATGTCATGCGTGGAGGTGTGGAGGCCACCTACGACTTCGGAATGGCGTTCCCTGTAGGCCTGGTGAAAGGAGGTCGTCATCTTGTGCTGCTTCTTCTTCTCTTCACAGGCCTTGACTTCCGATGAGGAGCTGGCACGGCAGCCTATGCTGACTGCGGCCTCGACCTCCAGGCAGTCGGCCACTTCGTTTCCTGTGAGCCCTGACAAGGCCAGCTCACAGGTACGCAGGGCATTGAGGACCGAGATCCGGCCGCCAAGCTCCATGGAGCGCATAAAGTGAGTGCCATAGTTGGAGATGAGCCTGAGGTAGTTGGGCTCCGTGGAGGTGTTGAAGTGAGGGGGCAGGTCTCTGAGGGCCCTCTTGAAATTGGGGTGGAGTGGGGGAGAGTGGACCAGGTGAAAACTGTGGAGGAGAGAAAAAACATCAGGTGGGCCCAGCAGTGGGTAGCCTTTCCCTCATTCCGTAACTCCCTCAAGATTGCCCAAGGTCACATGCAATCTGCAGACCCAGGAGGTGAGCCCAGGAAACCCACTCTGTCTGTAGCCCCTCAGTGACCTAGCTACTTTGTATTTTTGCTTTGCCTTTTCAAAATAAAGTTTTTTTCTTTCCTTTTGCTTTTTGATTATAAAAGTGATGATACTGAACTGATGGTATCTCTCTAGCTTTGGAACCTAGTCCTGTGGCCTTCGCCTGTCTGTCCCCTGGAGGGGGCCCGTATACGTGGACCCCTGACAGCTCTGGTCATGCGGCCAGGAGGTTCCCTGTCTCCCTGTAGGGGAAATGTGACCTCCCAGTGTGAGAAATCAAGGCAGGTCATAGAGACCACGAATGTCTCAGGTGGGTGACTGCTTGCTCCACGCTGTAGGCCTAATTCCCAGCACGGCGCTTGACAAGGCAGGCACGAATAGTGGCTGAATGGATGAAAGAGGCTCAGGGATGGAAAGGATCCAGCCAGGTCTCCTGCCCACAGAAGACTGGCAATGCCCAGGAAAGAGGGGGTTGGGCAACCAGTAGGCCTGAAAGCATCATGGTGGGGCTCTCAGCACAGCCTTGCTCGCTTCTCCTCCACCTGTTCCCTCTATGGGCTCGAAATCAGGGCCATAGGGCACTGGACCACCTGGTGTGTAAAAACCAGGACTGGAGTCTCCCCGGGTCGAAGCAGCCTCTGCAGCCCCATCCTGCCATCCCAGGGCTCCCAGAGCACCCTGAGTTCAAGACCCCTTTTTCAATATCCCTCTGCCCCGGTGCTTACCGGTAGAAACGACACTCCACTGAGTCAGTGTTGAAGCTATATTTGTCCTGGTGGGTTTTTTCGGCGGCGAAATTGGCTGCCTTGGAGTGCGAGCCGGCCATTGCTACACGCACGCTGGCGCTGGGCTTGGGACTTATCTCCAGCCCCACGCGCCAGTCATTGCGGATGCTTTCGGCTGCCTCCCTAGCCACGGCCTCTGTGGAGCTGGCCTTGACACTGACCACGCGATGTTGGCAGCCTGAGCCCTGGGCTCGCCAGTCGGTAAGTGCCAGGGGCAAGCGCCGGAGGGCGTCCTTTTCCAGGGCATTGCGGCAGAGAGTGCAGGTGCCATCCGGCCTCTGGAAGTGCCTTGTGTCCACCGGGTAGGAGCCTGAGCGCTGAAGGCTGGTCACATCCACGCCCTCGCCCGCCAGCCAGGCGCCTGGCACAAACTTGCGAATACGGCGGCACTCGGAGTGGGCAGCAGTGTAGCAGGGGGCAGGGGCCGGTGTGGGCAACAGCAGGAGGAGGACATCCAAGAGGAGTGCACGGGTGGCCATGGAGCTGTGGAGACAGGGAGTTTTTGGGCTCTGGGAAGTAGGGGGCAGAGGCATGGAGGGTGGCTGACCCCTCCGGCAGCTGTGGATGATCAGGGCATAGAATAGGGAGGGAATGAGATATCTCTTAAGTCATTGAATATTAGAGATGAAATGGCCTTTACAAACCTGGTTCACCCCCTCCACATTGTAGAGATGGACCTAGAGGAGGGGAAGTGACTTGCCCAAGGTCACATAGCCACAAGGAGCCCCTTACTAGGATTTCGCTATTTAAGTCCTAATGGAGATCCAGGATCAATCCCTAGGACCACAGTGGCTGCTGGTGGGGAGGGGGCTCGGTGCACAGAGGAAGGGAACAGAGAGTAGCCATAGAGAATTTGGGGAGGGAACTGGGGACTCGAGAGAAGTGCCATTCAGGGCCCCAAAGCAAGCCATGCTTTCTCTCTCTCTCTCTCTCTCTCTCTCTCTCTCTCTCTCTCTCTCTCTCTCTCTCTCTTTCTCTCTTCCACTAAGCACTTAACAGAAATGGAAAAGAAATGAGGTTGTGCATCACCCTTATTTTCCCCATTTGCCCTTTGGGGCCCTCTTTGTGAGCCTCAGGAAAGACCATCAGCCTGAATTCTAGAGTAAAACCTGTCTGCGCTTACGTCCTCAGATCTTGTGTGGGAGGGGCCTTTACGTGTGCTCTCCAGATCTCCTGATGCTCAAGTCCCCTCTTTGGCATCTTCTGCCACACTCTGTGGAATCCTGGCATGGCTGCAAGCTACTGATTGCCTACTATTGGACAACAATTAGAAGGTGCTTCCTCATTTGGAGGTGTACCTGGAATCTAACCTGGGCCTGCTTATGATCTGGAATCTCCTCTCAACCCTTATCCAAACTGAGCTCCTTGGAGGCCTTTTCCCTCCTGCCAGGGCCAGCAGTTTCTCCGAGACACAGGGGATTATGGGAGCAGGCACTTCCCCTGCATTCTAGCTGGAGCGTTTCATGCCCTACCCAAAGGAGTGACTTGAATGGTGGAGCTCCAGGCAACATGGCAGGCCCCAGGGAGGTAAATAAGAGGAGAGTCTTTCCAAGGCCCTCAGATGACCCCACTTAGGAGGCCAGCACAGTTCCTATACTTAATCCAAGGAGGTCAGTCTACATCTCAGCCCTCATCCTGTTATCTCTCTGGAAGTCTGTTTCCAGCTTTCTTAGAGGCTTTCCCTGTCAGCAGCTGAAGGGGCCTTAGAGCTGTGGATTCTAATCTCTTCATTTTACCTATGAGGAAACCGAGGCTCAGAGTCAGCGCGAGGCTGCCCAGCGAGTTAGTGACGGAGCACAGTCTGGGACGGAGTCTCTTGTCTTTCGGGTCATAGCACTTCCTGTTCCGTCAGTCTCTTCTTCCAAAGGAGCAGCTCACTCCCATGCTGCTCTGTCCCCACCCAGGCACTCCCAGCCTCCCTGACCCCCATTTCCTCCATACCTGGAGTTCTGTGTTGAGCTGCTCCTACACAGACACCCTCTCTCTCCGCGGGAGGCTCTCGAAGTGAAGGTGTCAGCCTTCCAGGCAGGCTCACCACACAGCTCATTACTAGGCCACTGTTCACATCACTTCTGCTTCCTGCCCTGCCCCCAAACTGTGGTCACAGGTCCCCTTCACCCTCCCTCCTCCCCTAGCACCCACCCTGTTTTCACCTCCTCATCCGGCCCTGCTGACAGCCCTCAGGAAGCAGGTTGTGAGGGCCAGTGGCTCATCCTCCAAGCAGAGTAGCCTGAGACCCGGAGACCTGGGAGGCACACAGTGAGGCTTAACGTGGAGCCAGCACAGGGGCCTGAGAACTTCGAGAGTCAACTCTGGTGTTGATGAACACACCAGCAGGGGCGATTTTCCTACTTCTGACCCACAGCATCACATGTGTGAGACGGAAGAGGCAGCACAGAGAGTAGGCGCTCACAGCACGGGCTTGGGAGCCAGGCTGCCTGGGCTTGGGCCAACTTGGCTGTGTACTGGCTGTGTGGCCCAGCGAGCTTCTTCAGCCTCTCTGTGCCTCAGTTTCCTTAACTAAAAATGAGGATAACAATAGTGTAGGTCCCATAGGTTGTGAAGATTTGGGGAGTTACTCTGTGTGAAGTGCTTGGCCCTCAGCCAGTGTGAGTACCTGTGACCACTGCCTCCTGCCTGAGCAGTGGGGGAAGGTGAATGTTGTTCAAACCTCCGTGCCCACTCCTGCCCGCACCTATATCCCAGCCCAGCCCAGGCTCTGAACCCCAAACATGTGCCCCAGGGCAGGGTCTCCTGCTCCCCACTCTGTGAGGAGAACCAGTGGTCATATGGGTCCCCAGTCTCCTCTGCAGCCCTGGCCTGTGTTTGCAGCCACAGGGTTGGTGGGTGGGCAGCTGTGGGACCCTGCTGGGGAGAGAGATTGGGTGGGACCATAGGCTCAGAGTCTTCACCATTTGTCTCACCCGAGGTCAGGGTAGGTGAGGTTTCCATGTGTTGATTGACTCACGGAGCGAACTCTGGGGGGCAAAGTCACACTGGCCTGAGGTGGAGACAGTTTGGTAAGTGGGACAATGTTCTCACAACTTTACCCTCCTACGGTGTAGGTGACGGGAACAGATAGCCACAGGCCCCAGACCACGTGTGACACCATGGGATGGCTCATCCCTTCAGCTCATGTCTCCTCTTGCGTCCTCTGCTCTTACGGGAAGAGGGGCTTACGTTGCCTTCTCGGAACTGACCCCAACTCCTCCCCGCAGTGTCCCCCTCCCTCTCCCAGAAATTGCAGCCTCCTGACCCTCTTCTAGCACCTGCGCGTGGCCTGACTCGGAAGCCCAGGCTGTGAAAGTTTAGTTCTTTTGGCTGTCCTCGGAAGGCCAGTTGAAGGGGCTTGGAAACTGCAAAAAAATCTGTAGGAAGAGAAAGGTGAGGTAGAGGGAACGGGTTCTAATGCCAGCTTTCCTGGAAACTTGTGTGGCTCTTGGCAGTAGAGTTTTAAACCCTTTCGTGAAATCAAAGGGAAGACTTGAGGATTTCTAAGACTCCTTAGATTCTTAATGATGAAAAGTGCATTTAGCAGGATTTGCATCATGTGTGAAGTGGCTAGCGTCCAGGAGATGCTGGTGGGGAGCAGTCCTTAAGGAGCTGTGATGACATCAAGGTTTACAAGCACTGTTTTTGGCCTATATAACTGATGACAGCTGTCCTCTCTAGTTGAAACTTAGCACTTAAAATGTATGTTAAGTACAGGTTTTCCTCAGAGACATAGTTTCACTTGCCAGATGCTGTCTCTATGGTTTATTATTAACAACTGTGTTGAAATAGAATTCATACATTTAAAGTGTACAATTCAGTGGTTTTTAGTATATTCAGAGTTATGCACCTATTACCACAACAATTTTAGAACATTTTCATCACTCACCTAAGAAACCCTGAACCCATTAGCAGTTACTGCTCATTTCCCACAATACTAATCTATTCTCTGTTTCTATAGATTTTCCTATTTTGGACATTTCATGTTAATTGATTCATATAAGATGTGATGTTTTATGTCTGGCTTATTCACATAACATACATATTTTCAAGGTTCATCCGTATTGTAGCATGTATCCATACTACATTCCTTCTCGTGGATGAATAATATTCCATTGTATGGATACACCACATTTTGTTTATCCATTTATCAGTTGATGCACATTTCAGTTGTTCCCCCTTTCTGGCTATTAAGAATAATGCTGCTAGGAACATTTGTGTATGAGTTTTGTGTGGACATATGTTTTCATTTGTCTTGGGTACGTATCAAAGAGTGGAATTACTAGGTCATATGGCAACGTTTTTAGGAGCTGCTTTCCTATGTGGCTGCACCATGTTACGTTCCCACTAGCAGTGTACAAGGGTTCCAGTTTCCCCACATCCTAAATATTATCTGACTTTTTTATTATAGCCATTCTTGTGTGTGTATGTGTGAAATGCTACCTCATGGTGGTATTGATTTGGATTTCCCCAATGGCTAATGATGTTGAGCATCTTTTTATTTGTACATTGGTCATTTGTGTATCTTCTTTGGAGAAATATCTACATATTCAAGTCCTTTGCTTATTTTTGAATTATGTTATTTGTCTTTTTATTGTTGATTTATAATAGTTCTTTATATATTTTGGATTCTAGACCCTTATCAGATATATTTTCTCCTATCTGGTGAGTTGTCTTTTACTCTCTTGATGGTATCCTTTGAAGCACGAAAGTTTTTAATTTTGAAGAAGTCCAATTAATCTATTTTTTCTTTTATTGTTTTTACTTTTAATATCATGTCTAAGAAGTCTTTACCTAACCTAAGGTCATGAAGATTTACTCCTATAATTTCTTCTAAGAGTATTATAGTTTTAGCTCTTATATTTAGGTCTATGATCCACTTGAAGTTTATTTTTGTGTATGGAAAGGGGTAATAACTTAATTCTTTTGTATGTGAGTAATTAACACACACATATTTACATACACACATTTATATATATATATATATATATATATATATATATATTTAAGGTTATAAAATATTTTCTCTTGACAGAAAAGCTCCATGGATACCTTACGTAGAATGCATGAGAAAGATCCTGGTTGCATCCACTTATACACTCTACAACTACTACATAAACTACAGACAGGAACTGTAATCAAAGAGGTCCTTTAATAAAACAACTGCTTAGATTGTAATTATTGTGTATGTTTTAGAGAGCCAAAATGCAGTCACAGGTGTGCCCTTGATTCTGTGATCATTCTTTGTTCCCCATTCTTTACAGATTTGCGGATCTTTGGGGTTCTTCTTCACCCCTCAAATGTGTTACCCAGAGTCATGCTTGAGTTTTCACATTTAGTCTTATGAAATGAGTTGAAGAGCTTTCCCTGTTTTTCCACTTAGTGGCAGAGTTTGTAGAAAGTTGGTACTCAGTTTTTGTAGTTGGATGGATTTTTAACTACTGAGTCCGTGTTATAGCTCTATTCAGGTTTTCTGGTATCAGTTTTTGGCAAGTTACATTTTTTTAGGGAGTCTTCCAGTTTGTCTAAAATTTCACACATGTGGGCATGAAGTTATTTACAACAGTCTCTTTCTCTTTTAAAAATAATCTTTCTGAATCAGTAGTGATATCCCCTTGTTAATTACAGATTTTAAAATTATGCTTTTCTCTTTTTTCTAGATCAGTCTTGCTGAAGAATTTTGTATATTTGTTTAATTTTCTCAAGAAACATGTTCATGGCTTTATTGATCCTCTTTATTGTATCATTATTTTCCATTTTATTAATTTCATTCTTATCTTTTAATTTCCTTCTTTTTATCTGTATTCTTTGGGTTTCTTCTATTGCTTTTTTTCTAACTTCTTGAGTTGAATCCTTAGCTCAATTAATTTTCAGTCATTCAGACCTGAACAGTAGAAGAGAATGTCTCAAGGGCCATTGTTAGAAAAGAAAGTACACTCCAAAGAGTTTGGAGCGGGCCCCGAGCAAAGGCAAGGCCCAAAATGCTCAAAAAAGGTCCATTCTTTCTTTTTCAAAAAATCAATTTCTAGTTGTACCTTTTGAATTTCTTCACCCATTTCACCCACCCCACAATCCCCACCTCTGGCAACCACCAATCTGTTTTCTGTATTTATGAGCTTGTTTTGTTTTTCCTTCTGTTTGTTTGTTTTAAGATTCCACATATAAGGGAAATCACATAGTATTTGCCTTTCTCTGTCTGACTTACTTTACTTAGCATAATGTCCTCACGGAACATCTATGTTGTCACAAATAGCAAGATTTCCTTTTTTTATGGCTGAATTATGTCCCTGTGTGTAGTGTATGTGTGTGTTCACATTTTCTTTATGTATTCACCCATTGGTGGACACTTAGGTTGTTTCCATATCTTGACTATTATAAATAATGCTGCAGTGAACATGGGAGTGCAGATATCTTTTTGAGTTAGAGTTTTTATTTTCTTTCATTAAATACTCAGAAGTAGAATTGCTGGATCAGTCTTTCTTCTTTCTTAATGTAAATATTTAAGACTCTACATTTCTCTAAGAACATTTAAACTGCATCTCTAAGGTTTCGTTATGAAGTACTTTCATTATTGCTTAGTTTCTTAGTTTTTCTAATTTTCCTTATGATTTTTCTTTAACCTGTGAGTTATTTTTTTAAGTATCCTTTTTTTACATTTTCCAGAAAATGGACTTTTAAATACTATCCGTTGGTTATTGATTTCTGTCATAGCTGCATTGTGTTCAGAACATGTCTGTATGACAACTGTTCTTTGATGTATATTGAAATTTTCTCTATAGTTTACTAAATGTTCATTTTGTAAATGTTCCTGTGTACTTGGGAAGAATATCTAATTTGCTAAATTTTGGGTGCATTGTTCTATGGTCAAATCTATGGTCTCTTAATATATTGATTACTGAGAGAATCATGTTAAAATCTCCCATTGTGAAGATAGATTATTCAAGATCTATAGATTTCTTCCTACAGCTAGAGTTCTGTCAACTGTTGCTTTATATTTTGAGGCTGTTTTATTAAACAAGTTTAATATTGTTTTGTCTTCCCAGTGGATTGAGCTCTTTATGTAGTAACCCTTT